TCCATATTTATCTAGTTTAGTCTTCATTCGAGGATGAATGTTCCCAAGGGGGAGATAATGTATCACCCCAGATTCAAAGGGAAAAAATGCAGATTTTCAAAAGTTGCAAATGCCACCAACGGAGACCACCTACAGACCGTAGGGAGACCCATGGACCGTAGGTGGGATTCGTGGTTGGCTACCTGCAACCCCCTGCCCAGAATTCTAGAAAATTCAGCCAATGGTCAACCTACGCCAGGACGTACGGACCATATGTCAGACCACAGTCCATGGTCCAGGCTGTGGTTCTAACCCCCAACTTTCAGCTCCCAGACACTAGTCGACACCCTACCAGAATGGACCGTCAGTCAGTTCGTGGTCCGTTGGTCAGGGGCCATCGATGGCCTCGGCAGTTTAAAGTCAAGGGTCATTCGGTCTTTTCCCTTGTGCGTTGGACACCTAAACTACATCGTTTAACCCCTAAACTACATCATTTTGGTATGTTTTAGCCTAGAAACTTAATCAGAACCTACCCTATTCAATCATTCACCAAAAAATCATCGATATTAGAGCAAAACAAGAGAGAAAAGTTGAGCAGCCCTCTCCAAAAAAGCAACAAGTTTTCCTCAGTTCCAACCGCAAAAATCAAAAGATTTCTCCATGGAATTCGTTACTAGGTATGCGGGATTTCACTACTGGGTTCCTTTCACCCATTAGGTCCCTGGAATTCAGTCAGATTCTTGATTCCCTTCATATTATCTAAACCTAAGGTTTCTTAAACTTTAGATATTATTGTGATTTAGTTGTTAGAACATTCCTAATTAGATTTTCATATTATTGTAACATTGTTGCTAAGTTCCTTGGATGAAATTCAGAAGCCTAGTTGTGTAGATTCGTTTAGTTCATGAATTACACTAGCTGGGACAGATAAAGAGATATACATGCCTCCGTTTCCAAATGTTTCATTATCAGTATTTAATGGTGCATATTTTGTTAGCATGTCAGAACAATGAGCTATCCAGTATATTTCAGTTGTGTTATATTGTACATATATTTAGTTGGGAGTAGGCTTTATACCAAGTTGGACTAGGGTTAGTCACCCTCATAGTACCAGAACTACGTGCCCATGTAGGTTTGTAAGTTCCCTCTGTGGGCATCATATTTAGTGATCACGCCAGTTATGCCTCTATAACCTTGGCAAAGTATATTGGGTCATCTCGATGGGGTGTATACATCAGACTCCACATTGAGCTCATGTGGTTTTATGTCGGTTATTAGTAGCTCCTACAGTAAGATTCTAGTGCATTAACCAGGTTCCAGTTATATTTCAGTATTCAGTTTCACCATGTTATGTACTTGATCATTGCATTCAGTTTAGTTCATATTCAATATATCTCAGTATCTTTATCATAATCATATTACATTATTGCTCAGTGTGCTTTGTTCAGTTATATGCTTGTTCTGCTTTATCCTTATCCAGCATGCTTAGTACCTTTCAAGAGCTAACAAATACTCTGCGCTACATCTTTTTATGATGTCGGTTAAGGTCCTCAACATTTAGATCACGTGTAGATCGGTTGAGCAGTATCAGTGGCGATTCCTCATTCTTCGAGGATGATAGACATGTTCTTTATATTTCTTCCTTTCATTTTAGTTTCAGTTTTACTAGAGTTAGCTGGGGTATTTCCCAGTATCTCTAGTCAGTTAGAGGGTTATTTTAGACATAAGCAGATTTAGCTTTAGTATTTGAGTTATAGTTCAGTATCTTAAACTTTATTCTAGTATTTATATATTCAGACTTAGATTGGTTATTCGCTATCATTTATTTTATATCATGTTTTAGCTTCCGCACAATACCTGTTTAAGTATGCTTATGATATGCTAGCTCTGGGTTAGCTTGGGGTCACTTGTTACTAGGTTCTGTGTTTACGTCAAGGGGGTAGCCTCGGGGTGTGAAAAGTGCAGCTAGGCAATGAGGTTGTCCATCAAGATAACATGGCTCAGTGTTATGCCTTTGTGGGAAAGAGTGAGGTAGAGTCTTCTGATGAAATGATCACAAGTACTATTCTTGTCTGTGACCGGATGGCTACTATTTTCTTTGATCCGGGTTCTACCTATTCATATGTGTTAGTTCAGTTTACCTTGGGATTTGATGCGGTTTGTGATGTACTTTATGCCCCCATCCATATTTCTACCCTAGTTGGAGAGTGTCATAGTCACCCATGTATATCGTGCTTGTCCTAGTGTGTTTATGGGTTTTAAAACTTGAGCTGATTTAGTTATTTTGGATATGACTAACTTTGTCATAATCTTAGGAATAAATTGGTTGTCCCCCTATTATGTTGTACTTAATTGTAATACTAAGTCTGTGACTCTAGAGATCCCGGGTAGGGAAAAGTTAAAGTGGGAAGGGGTATACAAGCCTAAGCCAGCTAAGGTCATATCTTTCATTCGGGATAGAAAACTGATGGGGCAGAGGTGTTTGCCATTTTTACTCATATTAGGGAGGTTGATATTGAGGCTCCTTCTATTGAGTCTATCCCTGTAGTGTCAAAATTTAGAGAGGTGTTTCCTACCGATTTGCCTAGTATGCCTCTGGACAGGGATATAGATTTCTGCATTGACTTGGAACCTAACACTCACTCCATTTCCATTCCTCCTTATCGAATGGCTATGATGGAATTAAGAGAGCTTAAAGCTCAAATCCAGGATCTTCTGGATAAAGGGTTCATCCATCCTAGTGCTTCCCTGTGGGGTACGCCTCTTGTTTATTAAGAAAAAAGATGGTAGTATGAGGATGTGCATAGGCTATCGACAATTGAATAGGATCACCATTCGAAATAATAATCCATTGCCTTAGATAGATGATCTTTTTTACCAGTTGAAGGGTGCCTCAGTTTTCTCTAAAATTGATTTAAGGCCTGGTTACCATCAATTAAAGATTAGGCCTGAAGATGTACTAAAAACGGCATTCAGGACCTGCTATGGGCACTATGAGTTTCTAGTGATGTCGTTTGGGTTGACAAATGCACCTGAAACTTTCATGAGTTTGATGAATGGTGTGTTCAAGCCATTTCTGGATTCGTTTGTTATTGTTTTTATTGATGATATTTTGGTCTATTCGAAAAGTGAGGAAGAGCATGTTGACCATCTTCATATAGTTTTGGGTGTCCTTGGGAGACAAAAGTTATATGCTAAATTTTCCAAGTGTGAGTTCTGGTTTAATTTAGTTGCCTTTTTAGGGCATGTGGTTTCAAGGGAAGGGGTAATGGTAGATCCCCAATAGATCGAAGCAGTCATGAATTGGGTCCGGCCTTGTATTTTGACTTAAATTAGGAGTTTTGTGGGACTCGTCAGCTACTATAGTCAGTTTGTGAAGATTTTTGCTTGTATATCGCCACATATCTGACAAGAATACCCAAAAAGGAGGTGCCTTTCGAATGGACTGAAAAAAGTGAGAAGAGCTTTCAAAAGCTCAATTCTCTTCTAACCACAACACCTATTTTGGCAATACCTATGGAAGGTAAAGATTGCATTGTTTATTGTGATGCTTCACATTTGGGTTTGGGTGTTGTGTTGATGCAGGATAAGAATGTCATAGCTTATTCATCATGGTAGTTGAAGGTGCATGAGAGGAACTACCTGATACATGATTTGGAGTTGGCAACGGTAGTGTTTTCCCTTATGATCTGGCGGTATTACCTTTATGGTGTCAAGTGTGAGGTGTTTACCGACCATCATAGTTTACAACATGTATTCACTCAAAAAGATCTAAATCTGAGACATTGAAGGTGGATGGAGTTACTTAAGGATTATGATGTCACTATCTAGTATAATCTGGTAAGTCTAACGTGGTGGCAGACGCATTAAGCCGAAAGGCAATGAGTATGGGTTGTCTAGCTTGCTTGGGTATATCCAAGTGACCTTTGGCTAAAGAGATATAGACTTTGGAGTCTAAGTTCATGCAGTTGGGCATCTCAGAGAAAGGTGGGGTGTTAGCTGGAATTGAGGTTAGGCCCACGTTCATTGCGGAAATCAAGGCCAAACAGTTTGAGGATGAGAATTTGAATGAGCTTAGAAAGAAGACGCGGGTGTATGGCAAGGCACAAGATATGACTTTTAATGCGGGGTGTGTGCTCAATTTTAAAGGAAGAGTTTGTGTTCCTCGAGTAGATGACTTGATTCAGAAAATGTTGACAGAATCCCATGGTTCACGGTATTCCATTCATCCGGGTGTGACCAAGATGTAGCAAGATTTGAAATGACTTTATTGGTGGCCTGACATGAAGAAAGATATATCTGAGTTTGTGGCTAAGTGCCAAAACCGCCAACAAGTAAAATATGAGCATTAAAGGCCTGCAGGGTTGCTTCAGCGGATACCAATTCCGCATTGAAAGTGGGAAAGGATAGCTATGGATTTCGTGGTTGGTCTCCCCAAGACCTTTGGAAAGTTTGATTCCATTTGGGTGGTGGTTGACAGACAGACTAAGTCAGCCTACTTAATTTCAATCAGAGTAGACTATAATGCACAACAGCTAGCTAAAGTGTATGTGAAGGAGATAGTGAGTCTGCACGGTGTGTCCTTTTCTATTATCTCAGATTGTGGTACGCAGTTCACTTCCAAGTTTTAGGGAAAATTGCATGAGGAGTTAGGCACTCAACTATCTTTTAGCAAAACCTTCCATCCACAAATGGATGGATAGTGAGAGATAAATATTCAAGTGTTAGAGGACATGTGGAGGGCATGTGTGATTGACTTTGGAGGACATTGGGACAAATTTTTACCTTTGTGTGAATTCTCCTATAATAACAGTTACCACTCCAGCATAGACATGGCCCCATTCGAGGGACTTTATGGGATGAGATGTAGATCACCCATAGGATGGTTTGAGGATGGAGATATGAAACCTTTCGGGGTGGATTTGGTGAAGGATGCTTAAGATAAGGTGAGAAGCATCCAAGCTAAGCTTCTGGCAGCCCAGAGTTGATAGAAAAAGTACGCCGATCATATGGTAAGGGACATGGAGTTTCAGGTTGGTAAACAAGTTCTTCTTAAAGTGTATATGGTAAGGGACATGGAGTTTCAGGCTGGTGAGCAAGTTCTTCTTGAAGTGTCACCCATAAAAGGGGTGATGAGATTTGGCAAGAAGGGCAAGCTTAATCCTCAATACAGTGGACCATTTGAGATCCTTGACAGTGTAGGGCCATTGGCTTATAAGTTGGCCTTACCTCCTAGCTTATATGGAGTTCATCAAGTGTTTCATGTGTCCATGTTGAAGATGTATCATGGGGACGGTGATTACATCATAAAATGAGACTCAGTGTTAGTAGACAAGGACCTTCAGTATGAGGAGGAACCGATTGCAATTTTTGATCGTGATGTCTGGAGGTTAAGGACCAAGGAGATCAAGTTTGTGAAAGTTCAATGGAAGCATTTTCCGGTTGAAGAAGCTACATGGGAGGTCGAGAAGGACATGCAAGATAAGTATCCTCAGTTGTTCGCCGATTCGGGTACTAATCTACCCTTACTTTAGCCAGTTTTTACTAGTTTATCACTTGGGGACGAGTGATGGATAAATTGGTATCTATTGTAACGACCCGTTCCCGCCATTATGGAAAAAGCCAATAGGAAAAGAATTTGGGCCAGAAAACTTTTGAGTAGTGACTTGGGAATTCCTAGCCTAGTCCAGATTTGGATGAAATACGAGTCAGGTGAGGTGTAGGGAAATCTGGTAATTAACAAGTGAATTAATTATGAATTTGATCACATGAGTAGATACCCAAGACGTTAGGGATCCCGTTCAACTTTACGGAGTCGAATTCGGGAGAGTAGAACTCCCAAAACTGATCTTAGCGTGAACGGGTAGTTTTTGAATATCAAGAGTTGAAGGGCGGGGTCATTGTGGCTGGATAGGGCCTGTCGTAGCGGGCTAGTCGCGACTTATGTTGGCGAAAAACCTGAATTTTGTTATTTTTCAGCAACTTTCGTTCTTGATAGCTAAGATTCGACCCATGGCAATTTATTGACACTTTGCCATGAATTTTAGTACTAAAGGTAAGGATTTTACTCTCCTAAATCCTTTTTTTATCCGTAGAAATAGATTCTTGGGTAAATATCATTGGGGAAGGGTTTTGGCCCTAAGTTAATGGTGGAAAAAGCCCTAACTGCACATTAGGATCATAGGTTTGGTCTTGGGTTGTTGGTTTTGTCATAATTCGGGTAAATTAGACCTTAATTACTGATCCATGCATAATTTACTTGTGTTTAGACCAAGAACAAGCAGAAAGAATCTGGAAAGGGAAGACTCGAGAGTATTAGGAGGATTCAAGCTTGGTTTCGAGGTAGGTGATGGTTTGATTTCTAGCTTGTGTAATATATGTTGGTAATTTCTTCATTATATGAATGCATGTATGAGAATAAGGAATGCAAATCAAATCTAATGCAAATGTGTATATGTATATGAACAATTACATGCCATAAACCCATTACTTGATTGTGTGACTATGAGTATTGTTCATTATGGGTTTGATTGGGATTAATTGTGCTGAATGGATCGGGTGTCACGTTCCAACACATACATTGGATCGAGGGTCAGGTTTCGAGACACTAACAGTTTGGGTGTGGGTTCCATGAGAGGACAATTGTTATTATTGTAATTATGTCTATTGTTGTTGATATTGGAAACTTTATGTTGCTCTTGAAATGATAATTGTTCTATGTATTCCGTATTTGTATGATTACTGTGTTATAATTGTTGGTGTGTATTTCGCTTACCAAAATAGCCGCTTGATCCTACCAGTACACTGTGGTTGTGTATAGATACTGCACTTGTTCGTTCTTTGTTGAGTACAGGGAATCTTCAGGCGGCTATTGATAAACCTCAACTAGGAGATCGGTGATTGAGATCAGATTTGAAGGGTGAGCCAGTTCTTTCAGGCTGCCATGGAGTCCATTTTATTTAGTCCATTCTCTTCGGACTCAGACTATTGTTTAGATATTTATTATGTTTGGTTAGGGTTGTACCCCATTTTCTTAGACTTGTTGCACATTAGATATTTTGGTACAATGACTTTCAGGTTCTAGGGGTTGAACTTCTGCATTAGCTAAGTTTCGCTGTTATAGTTGAACCCTTGGAGTTTATGGGAACTTCATTTTTATTGCCATTTAAACCGGCTTCCATATCTTTAAATGCCTAATTTTTCATTAAGTTGTTTAGTCGGGATGTAGTAGTAGTTCTTCCACCGGAGGGTTAGTGTGGGTGCCACTCACGACGATCTGGGTCGTGACATCTACCTAGTCCAAGGAGAAGAAAAAACACACATTCTTTCCTTATAATAGAAAAAGACATGTACTTCTTCCTTACTTCTCCCTTGCCTTAGAACATAGAAAGATACATACTTCTCCCTTTCCTTAGAATAGAGAAAGACACATACTTCTCTCTTTTCCCCTTAGAATAGATTATGAGTTCTAGTTAAATATGGACACGGTAGGGACCATTAAATTAATTGTTGAGACTTCCTATTATGGAAATAATTCTAAATAATTAATTTCAATTATTCTTACCATAATAAATTGTAAATAATTTCACTCGAAATTCGTAAATACACTCCTCTATTTATATTTCGAAATTTCCCATTAAACACATATGTAATTTCCCATGTTAAGATTACAGATACTAATCAATAAATTAAATCACTAACGAATTTATTTCAATAATCAATTTACCTTAGAGTACTGCTTAACTTATTTCATGTGTCGGATTCATAATCCACTTGCAAGGTTTGATAGGATCAAAACTTATAAGCTTCTCAAAAAGGCATATCGTCAATCTCTATATCGAGACATAGATTCTGTCATATAATTTATTAATTTACTAATATATATTATCATCATCCAATCTACCAAGCATATTGACCCATCTTATAATCTCACCTTTTAATAAATAAAAATGAGAATTAACATATATAGATCATAATAGTTATAGCAGGATTAAGAATATGAGCACATTTAATAGTTTAGAGAATATGCTTTTACCAGTCTAAACCAAGTATCTCTACTCGGTCCCGTCCAATACATACACAATACACTAGCACTAGAAGTTGGAGCTATACCATTCCAATAATCAAGATAAACTACATATAATCTTGTGCTACAATCGTACCGCTAGCATGTCCAATTCCCATTTTAGATTGTGAACAAAAAACTTTATACTTATAAGAACCAATGATTTAATATTTTGTATATAGGCTTAAACTCTATACACTAAATCATCTACTATATAAGTAAATAGATACTATAAACGAATATATAATCTACAAAAATTAATAAATAATTGTTCTATAATAAATATTATATCTTAACACATGGTTAATAGTATATATCCCAACAAACACTTCACCTGAAATAGTGGGCTCCTAAGCTATGTTCCTACATTATTAATTTGAAGTGCACACATTGGAGCTGAGGGACATTGGAGGTATGATAAGTATCAATGAATTTGAAAATGCGATATTCCATCTTGAGATTCAATGAGGGAATCCTATTTACGAGAATTGTAATAGTCAAGAATGCATCAATCCACAAATAAAGAGCTAACTTAAATGAAATAATAGTGTTAAACCAGTCTCCATGATATGTCTATGTTTCCTTTCCGCAACTCCATTTTGTCTACCAGTATTTGGGAACAAAGTTTTTCTCACAATTTTCAACATGAGTAATAAATTATGCTTTAGAAAAACTCACCCCCACCATCACCTTGAAACACTTTAATTCTCTTTGAAAATTGGTTTTCTACCATTTTCTGAAACTTTACAAACACTTCAAATACTTCAGATTTCCTTTTCAAAGGATACAACCAAGTGTGCCTAGTATGATCATCAACAAAATTGACGTAATATTTCATATGTTGTGGCAATTCAATTGATGTAGGTACCCATACATTACAATGAAGTTTCAACAAGGGTTCATTCTCAGTCTTATTTCTTAGAAGGTATCTTACAATCCTTATGACCTATATTACAACTAACACATACTCTCAGAGTTTTATTCCAGCATGTGCTATTGACACACTTATTACTACTCAAGAAATTTTTATTTTAGTATTTTATGCACTTCCAATATGTGATATGTTGAGCTTTGAACCATTGCCAACAACAATTCTATCAGGGCCTTTATAAGTTTGAAGGTTGGACAAGTTACCTATAGAATTTATCATATGGCATTATTCTCATCCTCTGTGTCTTGTAAGTTTACTGCAACTAGAACTTGAGGAAGATCTTCAAATGCTTGATAAGATAAATTAATAGAAACATTAGTGTGATCAACAGTTGGATGAAATCCTCTACCACTTAAGGAAAGGATGCCTCTTTATCGATTAGATCCAGCACAACCTCACTAAACTTTTGAGCTTGTAAAGCCATATTGTGATTTAGTTGAGTATCTTCCACCATATCATAGTTGTGAATAATATTATTCGGAGTTAGCCCATTCTATCTAGTAAACCAATGCATGTACAAAGCCCAAACATCCTCCTTTCTTGGAAAATTTTGGATAAAACCTCTAGCCCCTTTCACCTACTTGACCTTGTGGGAGAAAAATATGAACGTCTTATTAATATCATGCTTGCCTATTCTGCAATCTCCACTGATTTAAAACCAGAAGCTAAGTCAATGACTATTCCTAATTATGACTTCCACAATTTCTGCAAGGATAGAATGGAAAAATCTTTTGATGGTAATCAAATCTGGGCTGCTTATGATGCTGATGATTCTATGTCATGCCATTATGCTCTGATTCACTATGTGATAGCTAAAATCCATTTAAAGTGAATTTAACTAGTTGAACTCCAAAATTAACTCTTGGACTCGACCCAATTAATTGGGTTTGTTTTGGCTCCCTCAAGACCAATGGAGATTTCAAGATAGGCAAGCATGATATCAATAAGACGTTCACTTATTTCTTCACAAGGTCAAGAGGGTGAATGGGGCTGGAGGTGCAATCAAAACTTTCCCCATAAAGGCAGATGTTTGGTCTTTGTACATGCATTGGTCTCCTAAATGGAATGAGGTAACTTTGAATAATATGATACACAACTATGATATGGTGAAAGATACTCAACCAAATCACAATATGGCTTTTCAAGCTCAAAAGTTTGGTCGAGGTTGTCATGTATCTAATTAGAAAAAAAGGAGCTTCTCCTCTAGAGGTAGAGGATTATCTCCCACAGATTCAACAAACAAATTGAGCAATACTCCACCACCTGGTTGTTGCATGAAGTTTCTTCACATAAATACTGTGGAGAAGAACTTTCTTTGACTCTTCGAACCCTAGAATACAATCATTACAAAATGCAAGTTAACAAAAGCTACGAATGAGAAACCTGAAAATAATATCATAAGATAAAAAGGGTACTAGTAAATAGTAATACAAAGTACGTAACAACAACCTAAAAAAAGAAAGGCAATGCAGTAAAGTTTGATCACATTTTTACATGAATTTCATGAAATAATGCACTATCCGACTTCCAAGTTTTTTGTTAGATTCCTATGGAACATTAGTGATTAGGGTAGAAGAAGTGTTATTTTAAGTTGATTCTAAAGTTTTGATGATTTAAAAAACTTTGGAATCTAATGAGGGACCAAATCTTAGGAGAGACTAAGAATTCTTTACATGAAAATGATAGCTGTAAAAAGTGTTGATGAGTCCACGATTTGGACTCATTTAGGGCTCTATTTTAATAGATTTAGTGTCCTCAAATGCATATTTTATCTCAATAACTGATGTAAATACTTGAATTTCAGGTATTTGAACTTAGGAACAAAGCATGGACACAATGGAGCAAAAAGGAACAAGGCAGCCGAAAGAACGAAGAAAAGAATGCCTGAGGATCACCTAAGCCATTGGATGAGTCGCCGAATGGCCTTGGCCTCACCCAATGTAGCAGTGTGCCAAGCCCTAAAGGACAAAATCAAATAGGTGATAGAAAGGAGCAATTGGCCAGTCGCCGAACGGTTCTGCGAGGTATTGCCATATTGCCCAAAGTTACAGAACTTGAAGTTGCTGAAGGACAATGCAGAAAGGCGATGAACTAGACCAAAAGGTAGATCGTCGAGTGAATCGGTGATCCCGACTAACTGCGCTGAGTGATCCTATGCAGCACAATTTTTGACAACTATAAATACATGTTTGAATTTTTAGTTTAGTAGAAAGTGTTACATTTCAGAAAGGAAGTTTTATATTTTCAGATAACCAGTATTTAGAATTACTCAGTTTTAGAACTTAGTTTTTGGGGACAATTTTTCCTTAGCTTTGAAGAGTTGAAGATTTCCATTTTTTGAGCAATCGGAAGTGGGTATTGAAGATTCTTCATCCTTGACGTGTGTAAAGACAATATTTATCGTACCCATTTGATGGAAACACTTTTTGATACTGATTTCTATCTCTTTACTATGTCTAGCTAAAACCCCAATTCTTGGGGTGTGATTTTGTGAATATGGGTTGAATTTACTGCTGGGTGGTGCTAATTGATTGTTTATTCGTTGTTTAGAGGTGATTTCGTTCAGTAGTTCTGTCTGAATTAAATGGGGTTGTAGTTGAAAATACAATTTTATCTTCGTATTTTTGACTTGCTCTAAAGAGAAGTTTTAAAACCAAAACTAGTGAATCGATAGTCCGTGGTTGTTGGGTTGTCATGGGTTCAACTAGACAGAATGAATCCTAAACCCTCTCCCACACATTCAGCTCGAGATAGTGAATGGACTAAGGCAAAAGTTGTGCTTCATTTCCGCTTATCGTTGTTCGAGATAAACCGATTTGATTCGGGGTAAATTGTTCGAGAGAGAATTTACACCCAGTAATGTCTGGCTTAGTTACTAATTTGCAGCGAGTTATTATCAATAGC